TGACGTTCTTGATGAGCAGATTGATGACCTTCCGTGACTGTCGAATCTGCTCCTCGTTGCACGGCTCGGCGAGCAGGGATTGCTCAAGCCCAAGCTCCATGCACATCGCGCTAAATCGAATTTGCCAGGTAGAGTAGTTGTTGAGATCCAGCGACTCATCAAGCTTGTCCTTAACCATTGTTGATGAGGGATAGAAATAACAATTGGGCGATAACTGTCGGCGCTAATCGGGGCTCATAACCTATTGAAGAATTGGCGACGGTGACAGCTAACGCTAATTGTTATTCCGGAAGGATTGCCGGTGGCGAAGATATTTAGCACGATAAACTGTTACAAGTAATGTAAAGAGTATTGTTAGCGTTCGGCAGGACTTGAGGAGATTCCTGGTAGGAATACCGATCGTTGTGAGATAAACTAATAGGCGCAGTCACCGCCCTAAATACCGGCGCTAGCGGAAAACTCGTACATTCCGCGATCTAACTGCACGTACATTCCGCGATCTCACTGCGCCGTCCAGACGGTGCCCTAATGTCTATCACTTAGCTACCGGATATGCATCGGTAGCCCCATAAGGTTCTGGGGTAAGATTTCCCCATTAGTCAGGTGCAGACCCGGGGTCAAATCCCCTGGTCGACAACCACACGAGTTGGGAGAGGACCGTTTCCTCAACAATCGCACGCCGCCAATCGTCTGCATGTGGACTCGCAATTGCTTCCGCAAACGAATTCGGTTCAGGAATGACAGCAGAAAAAGCAGCATTAATGCGACCAGTAACAGTGCGACCAGGCTCGTTTCGCCACCACTCGCCAGGGCGTTTACACTCTCTAACTGGGTACCGGGTCCCTGCCATTTCCACATCAGGCGGAGTGTTATCTTGCACGTTCGCACTGCTGGAAGGTCCAGCCCCAGCCGGCGCCCCCTCGCCACCCAAAGGCGGCGATCCCTCGCCGACGGTATTGCCTGATGTTCCTTCGCCAGCCCTAGGCAGCGACCCCTCACCAGGCAAGTTAGTGCGAACATCCTCCTCCTCATCGGCATCGGACCCATAATCGGAGTCCCCGGCACTACGCCGCCGGCCGACATTAGACTCATCAAAGCGGACACTCGAGACAACGGCGACGACGCCGTCCTCGTACAGTACATGTTAAGACCAGCAAAGCGCCGGACCCCGTTGGGTCCTATTACTGTGGTTACCATTCACTGGTATATGAGTGTCGGTCATTTCCAACACACCCCCGTGAGCGACACTCTCTCGCTCCGGGCCTTCCCGTGCCTCATCCCGGTCTCCCATTCTCTGGGCAACAGCCAGTGGGTATCGATCCGGCGACCTTTCGGCAGCGCAATGCGCCATTCGGGGCTCGTAACCTGTTAAGACCAGCAAAGCGCCGGACCCCGTTGGGTCCTATTACTGTGGTTACCATTCACTGGTATATGAGTGTCGGCTGGCCAATGACCTGGCCTTGTCTAGAAGAGTGCGGTTCAGGCGTTCTGCTGCACCGTTCTGCTCAGGAGTGTAGCCCGCCGTAGTTCCGTGCATTATACCCCTTGACGCAAAGTAGTTTTTCGTGCGAGTATTCACAAACTCCCCGCCACGATCCGTGCGCACCTCCTTTACCTGCCGACCAGATGCCCGTTCCAGGTCCGCTATCATCACCACCACCTTCTGATATATCTCCTCCTTGGTCGCCGTAAACGCAACAGCTGACAGACCGGTGTGGTCATCAAGAAGGGTGGTCACGTAACGCGAACCATTTGGTGAAGGTTCAGGCATAGGCCCACACACATCCATGTGAATGAGCGCGAGAGGCTGCGCTGCCTTATGCCCAGTTAACGGAAAAGGACCACGTGTATGCTTTGCAAGGACGCAAGTCTCACACACACACGCACTGGCTGATTGTATGCTGTGTCGGTCAACATCCAACCCAGTTACCATATTGTGACGCAGCAACGCCTCAAGGTTGCTGTAACCCAAGTGGCCATACCGTCGGTGCCAAAGTGCTGCACGTTCAGCTCCGATACTCACGGCAGTACACACTGCACCACCACCAGAAGGCATCCTGTTGTCTTCACGCTGCGTCCACTTCAGAGCGCCCGTACCTCCACTGCTGTAGCAGACGGGATACAAGTCCCCATCCCGCTTTCCAGTCAGCACCAACTGGTTCTGTATGTATACTTTCACCTGTCCACCGCCGAAGACCACACTGCCTCCACGATCATCAATGATGCGGACCGATATGATTTTGGCGGTGGCCTCCTCATCGACGTAGACCTTCTTAAAGGTGATGGCCTGTTTATCGTTGACATTAGACCGAATCATAAGCGTGCCAACTTCAGTCGGCCGAAGAGACTGTCCCTTAATGCCCATGATGTTGAAGCGCTCCCACGGCTCCAACAACCGCACGTTGAGAAGTTCTGAGCGGTCATACGTTATGTGGTGAGTGGCGGCTGAGTCCAGGAACCACCCCTGCGGACGCTCACCGCTGTAAGCTGTGAACGCTACCTGCCGTGGGATTCCTGATCCCCTTCCAGACCCACCGGGCCCAGGCTTGCTGCCGCTAGCTCCGCTGCCACCACCACCCTTACCATGTCCACTGCCGGAAATGGACAACTGCTTTAGTGCCTTCAACTTCCTGCAGTCCTTAATATCGTGCCCGGGCTTTTTGCAATAGTGACAAAACAAATGTTTGGGGGAACCGCCAGAACTGCTGCTGGCCGCGCCGTGACTCCTAAGACCAGAACCAGAGGCGCCAAACGTGAGACCGCCGACAGAAGCAATAGCTGCCGACTCGGTAGGCTTACTAGACCCACCGCTTGCCACCTCGATAGCCAAAAGCTTAGAGGTGACGCTCGCCATGTCCAAATCGCCGTCACGCACCAGCAGGGACGTCGTTACCACGTTGAAGCGGCTGGGTAGACCAACCAGCACTGTGTATGCCAGCTCCGAGTCGCTGATAACGTGCCCCACTCCCAACAAGTCTGACTGTAATTGCCGCGCACGTGCCGTACTTCGGTAGCGGCTCGCCGTCGACCATCTTGAAACGGCTGAACTCTTGACGGAGAGTTACCTTGCGTGCGTTATTGTTAGCAACAAACATCGTGGCCAGAGCGTCCCATGCCCTCTTCGCGTTTGCAGCACCCGTAACCATCGGCAAATGGTGATCTTTAACATTCTTGATGAGCAGGTTGATAACCTTACGAGATTGTCGAATCTGCTCCTCGTTTCCCGGCTCGGCGAGCAAGGACTGCTCAAGCCCAAGCTCCATACACAGCGCGCTGAACCGAATTTGCCAGGTGGCGTAGTTGTTCAAGTCCAGCGGCTCGTCAAGCTTGTCCTTCCCCATTGTGGAATACGAGTATTAGAGGTAGTTGCTGCTTAGCGTGAGCCGGGGCTCATAACCTGTTAAGAATATGAAGGAGGCAAGGAGACTGGTCGCGATATAAGTATTATAATCGGAAGGTGAGTGGTAAACGGCTGGAAGACTTTAGGAGATTCCTACTGAGGAATACCGATCCATACAAAGATGAGATACAAAGACTAGCACAACTCGTGCCTTATATACCAGTACCAATGGAAGTATCGTACAGATGTCCACCATCCCTGGACCTGAGGTCACGTCCGAGATACGCGGCCGAGAGACCCGAGGCAAGGTCGAGGTACGGCCGAGGCAAGTCTAGGCATGGCCGAGGCAAGGTCTAGGCACGGCCGAGGCAAGGTCGATGCACGTCCGAGGCATCGCCTATCACGGTGGAATCATCGCCTAACCACCAATTATCTACGTTGGGATAGGACCGCCCTTCAACAGGAACTCATCTGCTACTACTGCAACAAGCCTGGGCACGTGGTAGTGTGCCCTCACCCGGCCCTACCCTTTCACGAAGACGTTCTTTCCTTGCGTGCAGGTACTTGTTTGTAACGTAGTCTTCGCATGAAAACTGACAGTTTTCTACGTGAAGCGTTGAAAACTAAGGTTTTCTGCGAATACGGAGTGTCTTTGCCGTATGGCGTACGAGCCAGTGTGGCTCTTGTGTCGCGGCACGCGACAGTGTTTGCTAATTCGGGTTGTTCGTAGCTACGTTTGGGTGCTGCCGTGAAGCGGTTGGTCTGTAGGCCTTGGTGTTCCGCTTCGTGGTAGTGTGCCCTCAATTACAAAGTCCGATTCTGACAGCGAGACTTCGGTCAGCTACAACACGATGTACACCGAACTAAAAGCGCGACTAGTCGCACTTAAGGAAAATAAAGATGTCAAGGCTGCGCAGGAGCGTCGCGCCGCTGACCCGGGCGTAATTTTGAACAAGCAGCAGCTGGCTGCCATGGACCAGCTGAACGCCGTGAAGCTGCAGCTGACAACCATTAAGAAGCTTATGGACACGAAGCCTGACGTGCAGGCGGTCGACGGTCCACCGGCGAAGCGGGCCCGTGTCGCCCTTGAGGATTTCAAATGTGACTTCGGCGCCAGCGAGGGCAAAGCGAACAAGTCTCTCAGCGGACAGCGCGCGCATATCGAGAAATGCTACAATGCGGTAATGGACATTGAGGACGCGTGGCGCAACGTCCTCGCGGCTCGGCCCGGCGAGGACGCTTCAGAACATCGAGGCCATGGAGACTGCCATCACCGACGGCAAGGCCGTGTTCCGGGGGGTCGCGAAGGAGCTGGTCGTTGCATACAACCACGGCTGGGAGGTCGTGCATGAGATGCGTGGCATGGCGTACGCGGAGACGGAGGAGGAGCGCAAGGCGCTGAAGCAGGCCGTGAAGGCGGTGGCGGGCAAGAAGCCCAAGCAGGCCAAACCCGCGAGCGTGCCGGCCGGCTCTGGCGCGGGGGCCGGGGTGAAGCAGGCAGCGGCGGCGGGTGTCTGTTTCAAGTGCAATAAGCCTGGGCACTTCGCCAAAGAGTGCAAGGAGAAGTAACGGGGTGTAGTGTGGTGCGGGTGTGAGAGGTAATTCGCAGCTCGTGGGCCCGGGAAGGTCATGGTGGTTTGGAGCCGACGCGGGTGTTAACTCGCGAGTCGGGGCCCGGAGAGGCCGGGGGGGTAACAGCCCCGTGGTGTTTTGGAGCCGACACGAGTGTTAACTCGCAGGTCGGGGCCCGGAGAGGCCGGGGGGCAGCAGCCCCGTGGTGTTTTGGAGCCGACTCGAGTGTTAACTCGCAGGTCGGGGCCCGGAGAGGCCGGGGGGCAGCAGCCCCGTGGTGTTTTGGAGCCGACACGAGTGTTAACTCGCGGGTCGGGGCCCGGAGAGGCCGGGGGCAGCGGCCCCATAGCGTGGAACCGTGTTGTTGACGTTCCTTTTGGCTGTAGCCTTGTGCGGGGTTGGGTGGCTAAGGGCACGGCCGCCCCCTCCGCGATTATTGAAGTTTCGTGGTAGTGTGCCCTCACCCGGCCCTACCCTTTCACGAAGACGTTCTTTCCTTGCGTGCAGGTACTTGTTTGTAACGTAGTCTTCGCATGAAAACTGACAGTTTTCTACGTGAAGCGTTGAAAACTAAGGTTTTCTGCGAATACGGAGTGTCTTTGCCGTATGGCGTACGAGCCAGTGTGGCTCTTGTGTCGCGGCACGCGACAGTGTTTGCTAATTCGGGTTGTTCGTAGCTACGTTTGGGTGCTGCCGTGAAGCGGTTGGTCTGTAGGCCTTGGTGTTCCGCTTCGTGGTAGTGTGCCCTCACCCGGTAACGGACTGCAGGCAGCTTAAAGCGCTGAAGCAGTCGTCAAATTCTGGATATAAGCGTGGCTACAACAACAGTTGCAGCGGAGCTAGTGGCAGCGGAGCTAACGGCAGCAAACCAGGATCCGGTGGATCAGCTATTGAAGAATTGGCGACGGTGACGGCTAACGCTGATTGTTATTCCGGAAGGATTGCCGGTGGCGAAGATATTTTGCACGATAAAATGTTACAAGTAATGTAAAGAGTATTATTAGCGTTCGGCAGGACTTGAGGAGATTCCTATGAGGAATACCGATCGTAGTGAGATAAACAAATAAGCGCAGTCACCGCCCTAAATACCGGCGCTAGCGGAAAACTCGTACATTCCGCGATCTAACTGCACGTACATTCCGCGATCTCACTGCGCCGTCCTGACGGTGCCCTAGTGTCTATTACTTAGCTACCGGATATGCATCGGTAGCCTCATAATGTTCCGGGGTAAGTCTTCCCCATTAGTCAGACGCAGACCCGGGGTCAAATCCCCTGGTCGACAACCACACGAGTTGGGAGAGGACCGTTTCCTCAACACGCCCCCTCGGGCCGTATCCCAACGAGTACCAAGTTCATCTGCACGCTTCACACAAGGCCAATTGCATCTCGGCAGCGTTTGAATTTTATCTCTCCCAGAGCCTTAGTGAGCACATCCGCAACCATCCACTCCGTAGGGCAGTATTCCAACTGCACCTCACCACTATTCACCCTCTCACGCACTATGTGGTGCTGCACGTCGATGTGCTTCGACCGAGCAGACGTAATCGGGTTATTTCCCAAGCTAAGCGCCCCCTGGAAATCTTTTTGGATTCTGATAGCGCTCTCAGCAAACCCAAATCAACCATCAGCTTGCGAAGCCACAAAGCCTCGCGAACAGCTGCTGCTGTCGCTTGATACTCGGCCTCCACCGACGAAGCCGCCACAGTACGTTGAAGTTGGCTGCTGCAGCTAATCGCAGCCCCATTAAGAGTGAAAACGTAGCCGGACGTAGAACGCCGCGTAACTGGGTCTCCTGCCCAGTCCGAATCACTGTACCCGGACATAGCAACGTCGCCAACACCCCCAAAACGCAATCCTAGTTCGCGAGTCCCCGCCAGGTAACGCAGAACGCCGATTGCTAAGTTCATGGCAGTCTTCGTAGGTGTGGCCATATGCCGGGACAAAACGCTCAATGCATATGAAATGTCAGGCCGCGTGTTCGGCGCCAGATAGTTCAATTCTCCCACCAAAGCCCTATACTGGGTGGGATTGCCCAGCAGCTCCTCTCCGTCCCCCTTAGGAGTGTACCTAAAGCCCGGAGGCAAAGGGGTAGACCTCGGCTTGGCGTCAATCATCCTATGACGCTCCAACAGCTGCGCAATATACCTATGCTGCGACAACACTATCTCACCCGACTTCTCCCTCCTAATTTCCATGCCCAAAAACACCTTCGCTTCTCTGTCGCGCACCTTGAAGACCTTCGCAATTGCGGCTTTAATTGCCCGGACCATTTCCGGGTCTTCCGACGCAACAATAGTGTCATCTACGTGTACCAAAGCAATAACAACCCCACGCTCGTCAGTCTTAACGAACATCGCCGGATCAGACTTCGAAGGATAAAGACCCAGCTTGGCGAACTCTGCTGATAGCTTTTCATACCAGCAACGGGGTGCCTGCTTTAAACCGTAAATAGACTTCTGCAGCTTGCACGCAAGCGACCGGTCACTGGATGCATACCCAGGCGGTTGCTCCATCCACAACTCCTCCTTCAGCTCACCATTCAGGAACGCAGTAGACACGTCTAGCTGATGCACCGTCATGTTCCGCGCTGCGGCAACTGCTAATAAAGCACGTAATGACGAACCACGAGAGGTGGGGTCAAACAACTCCCCATAATCAATCCCCTCGCGTTGCTCGAAACCCTTGGCAACTAAACGCGCCTTAAAACGCTCCACGCTGCCGTCATCACTGTACTTAACCTTATATACCCAACTACACAACAAACGAGTACCAGGAGGTGGCTTCTTCAGCTCCCAAGTACTATTAGCCATCTGGGTGGCGATCTCCTCGTCCATCGCACGCCGCCAGTCGTCTGCATGTGGACTTGCAATGGCTTCCGCAAACGAATTAGGCTCAGGAATACCAGCAGAGAAAGCAGCGTTAACGCGACCAGTGACAGTGCGACCAGTGACCAGGTTCGTTTCGCCACCATTCGCCAGGGCGTTTACGCTCTCTAACTGGGTACCTAGTTCCCGCCATTTCCACATCAGGCTGATTGACTCCTTGCCCATTCGCACTGCTGGAAGGTCCAGCCCCAGCCGGCGCCCCCTCGCCACATAAATGCGGCGATCCCTCGCCGACGGTGCTACCTGGTGTCCCTTCGCCAGCCCTAGGCAGCGATCCCTCACCAGATAAACTAGTGCGAAACTCCTCCTCCTCATCGGCATCGGAATCATAATCGGAGTCCCCGGCATTACGCCGCCGGCCGACGTGAGACTCATCAAAATGAACGTTAGAAACTACGGCAATAATGCCGTCCTCGTATAGTACACGATACTGTCCACCGTTCCCGTATCCGACAAGTATTCCACGCCTGCTCACCGGGTCGAACTTGTCGCGCTTGACGTCGGGTACGTGGACGTAGGCAACGCATCCAAAGACTCGCAGGTGACTGACGTTTGGACGAACGTTAAAGAAAGCTTCGTACGGAGTGACGGTTGACCCAGCAGTTGGCGACACATTCCTAAGATAGTTGGCTGTCGCTAACGCCTCCGCCCATAATGATTTAGGCAGTCCAGACTCAACGAGCATAGCCCTAGTCTTGTCCAAAAGAGTGCGATTTAAACGTTCCGCAGCTCCGTTCTGCTCAGGGGTGTAGCCTACCGTAGTTCCGTGTACAATACCCCTGGAAGCGAAATAGGCCTTCGTGCGAGTATTAACGAACTCCCCGCCACGATCCGTACGCACCTCCTTAACCTGCCTGCCAGAAGCGCGCTCCAGTTCCGCTATCATAACCACCATCTTCTGGTAGACCTCCTCCTTGGTCGCTGTAAACGCAACAGCTGAAAGACCAGTATGGTCGTCAAGCAGAGTTGTCACATAACGCGAACCTA